CTTCCTTTGCTCCTGTAAACAAACATTGGTTTTCACGAGACTCACCAGCGCATGCGCAACGCTGACCTCATACGTCATGCTCCCGGAGCTGCTTCCGTGTACAACTGTTGGCGCAAGCTACATTAAAGCGATTATTACGTTTTGAATATGGATATTTTTCTTACAAAAACGCATCGATTTGCTACAGGAGGCCTTTGTTCACTCCCCGGAGTCGTGTGAGACACTTTTTTATGGATGGGCGCTTTTTATTTAACTTCTTTTGGACTGATGCACTGCAACATCCACTGAGTGCCATGAAACAGCTTGAAAGATCAAAGACAATTTTTAAAATAACTCCGACTGGATTCATCTGAAAGAAAAAAAGTCATATACACCTAGGATGACTTGAGGGTAAGTAATTTATGGGCTAATTTTCATTTTTGGGTGAACTAACCCTTTAAAGTAGTAATTTGAGTTCCGGTTCATTTTTGTGAAGCGCTCCTGTTCAGAGAGACCGAGACGGCAGAATGCGCATCCTGTATGTTTTCTAAAAAAGCAACGTTTGCTGATATTGTGAGTGCACAAATAAAAGTAGACCCTTTGTGGTTCCAAATGATGTATTACTCTTACCTTTATGAGCAAAAATTATGGTGTATTTTAAGTTAAAAGGTATAATATTTCTTTAGGCTGTAGCAAGTGCCAGTTATTTAATTTTGCAAACAAATCCCTCGTTCAGAAAACCCACTGACTTGTCAACTGTTAAAATCGGTAGTTCTGCATGTCCTTTGTGTGAATGCATTTGGTATCCTTTAGTACCTTGTATCTAGAGACAGGAGCACTTCAGGTATGAGCAGCAGCAGTTTCTCGGCCTGTGGACCAAGAGTCTTTCCTCTCCAGCTGAGCATAGCCAGAGCTCCATGACTCAGATACAGAGCCACAGCTGCAGGCCTGCCGCTCTCATACAGACCTGCGCAGCTCTGTCTCAGCCACTGAGGGGCGATGCTGCCTGCATCCACTGAACACTGCAGAAGACCCGCAACCTAGAAACACGCTTCACACTTAAAAGCACTTCCACAGCCAGGAATGGATTCAAATGCAGCTCAAGTTAAGACAGAGTACAGAATAAGCTTCTTGCTTCTCACTTACTATGACAGGTACATCATCTCCATTACCAATAGTAGATCTAATGAGCAAAACAACGGCCATCCCAGCAGTGCTCTGGACCGTCTGAACAAACTCCTCTAGATGGGAAAAGAACTTCAGTATAATACAAACATTTACAGAAATAAATACAATATATATATAAAAAAAGTGTAAATAAATACAAACACACTCAATGTCAAGTTGCATATGAAGAATATAGGGGTCTTTGCCTTACCATCAGTCAAGATGCATGTATAGCAGCTGAGTAGTCCACTGAGAGCCTGATGTAGATCAGATTGGTCATCTGAAGCTGAAAGCACTGCAGTAGTGATGGGTTCCTGAGACCTCTGAACCACCAGCATTGAGGCCTTCACCGCTGCCAGACACGACTGCATCAGCTGAGCCTGGGCCACATGACGACCAGACAAACCCCTGAACAACAAATCAACAACAACAAACCATGCTAGAGACATTTTTCAAGAATTCTGGGTAACAGGAACAAGATTTCATCCATGCAACTTTTTCGTCCATGCATACAGCACATTATACAGTACAACAGGGAAAACTTTACCTGTTCTGCTCCACATAATAATCGAATGTCCTTTGGAAGAACTGGAGCACTATGAGATTAAAAAAAAAATAAAAATAAAAATCAGTGACAGAACTTGTAAAAGAGCAGAGAAAACCAAAGATACAGCATTAAATTATTTAACTTGTATACTAACCTTCTATTAGCAAATGGTGAACACATTTCTCACCTGTAAAACAAACAGAACAATTTTTAAAAAAATGTAAAACTGCTTGGGGTTGGAAAAAAGTGTCTTATGCACACGAAGTCTCACTTTTTAAACAAGTAATGTTTAAGTAACTTTAAAAACAGTAATACTGTGAAATATTATTACAATTGAAAACAACTTTTTTGTATTTGAATATACTTTAAAATGTAATTTATTCCTGTGATGCAAAGCTGAATTTCCAGCAACATTACTTCTGAAGCTTTGTCTTCAGTGTCGCATGATCCTTCAGAAATCATTCTAATATGCTGATTTGATGCACAAGAAACATTTCTTATATTGAATAGGGCTGGACGATATGGCCAAAATTGATATCACGATATATTTATTTCTGGAAAATGTTTTTTTTTTTGATAAATAGAACATTTAAAAGCACTTTTATTTTTATTTAAAGTAGAAATATTTTGCAGCATTATAACTGCATTTAGTGTCAATTTTGATGCATCCTTGCTGAATAAAAGTATTAATTTCTTTAAAAAAAAAACTTACTGATTCCAATCCAATCTTATAAAATTACATCACTTAAACATACCGATTTTAAAGCCATCCAGACAGGAAGTGATGCTATCTGTTAAGTGTGAGCAGTGATCTGTGCTCGTAGAGGAGAGACAGGAAGACAGGCTCTCAGACAGACATCCAACCGTCTGCTCCTGCAGCCAATCCGGGCCACTTCCTAGTGCACTGATAGAGAAGAAAAAGCTGATGCCAGTGTGTTAAATAGATAAATATATGTAAACAAAGCACACAGAAGTCAATCATTTTCAAATAAGAGTTATTGATTTTCCAGTAGCATGAGTGACAGAGAAATGTGGGAACCTTGCTACGGCTCTCTTAAGAGGGTTCTTAGCTGGCAGTGTGGTAAACAGGAACGCAAGTGTGCTCATGCAAGCCTGCAGTAAAGGACCCATAGTGCACTCGTCCTCTCTCAACTGCTCCAACAGGACGCCTGCCTGCAGTCAACATACAAACCAATGAAGGTCTGTGCGATTACAGTACATTCAGTATAACTCAGTGAAGATATTTATGATGAATGTGATGCAGACCAACCTTAGAGATGAGCTGGATCTGCTCAACCGGGTCAGAGGACGATAAACTGTCCTTCAGAACCCGAGCTAGCTCTGTGGATCTACTATCCCCCTCCACAGACAGGGAATCTGAAAGAACGAATTAAATATTACAGGTAACGTATGCACAACCACTACAAGTTGATTTCTGTCACTCACCTGTCAGGCTCTTCAGCTTGACATCATCCACAGCTACAGCCTCCACTTTAGGTGCTTTCTTCTTCACAACCATGACTAGATCTGAGACATAACAACAACTGCAGATGTGTATCATAAATTAGTTGTATAATTACTTACAGCGATCATACAACAAGTGCTGAAGATCAAGTTAAGGAAGTTATAAGAGCTCTGGCTCAACCTAACGTTACCTAGTGCTAGTCACGTTACTGTTTCCTCCAGCCATTTATATCACATTCTCGTCCACACCGAACACCCCGTTCTACTACACATTCAAAACATTCTAAAACATGAAAATATATTGTCATACCTTTGTAACAAAGCAGGTAACGGTGAAAAGGTTCAACTCTGCATGTAGAAATAAGTATTTCCACAGCAACATAACATACACGTGTGACGCGTCAATTCCGGAGTCGCGCTGGAGGTCCGCCCAGCACAAAGATGATTGGTTCACGCAGAATGCTTCTGATGCGTGATTGGTCCACGATAAAGTCAATCAGACATGACATCCCCATGCCCGCCCACTTCCACAGGACGATGCTGGAGTGACAACTTTGTGCAAGAAAACGGTCGCTCTTTATATCATAATTAGGTCATTAGTGCAATAACGACTACGACCAGACGGAATATTATTTTTATTATGGTGTGAAACCAGTTCCATCTTCAGCACTGTAACACTGATTGCCAGGTAAGGATAAAATCTTTAACTATTAACAAAAAAAGGGAATACGATATTAAAGTATTGACGTTTCTATTTCTACTTATTCAAATATGAAAGTTCTATATTATATATTTAGATGAAAATAGATTCTAAAATTAAATGTAGCCTATATTATGTACTTTGTTGATTGTTTTAAAAGTGATTTTGAAAATGAAAAGCTTCATATATTGAATACGTTTGAAATTATTACATTTGATATAACTGAAATTCAGTTCATATTAAATCATTCTATTCTGTTCTATTCTATTAATTTTCATGAATACAACTCCAGTAATTATACCTAGGGCACCATCATTCTGTCACTAACTGCAGCTAAATGGTATATAGACAGTTAACATAAAACATACCCATAGACTGTTTTTGGTTAGGTTAAAATTTGTATGTACTATATATAATGTTATGTTGAATCACTGTATATTTGATCTGTGTTATGTAGTGAAACTGACAGAACATTTAATAGAGCCAGAACCAGGATCACTGACTCCTGAGATGGAAATTCATACCTGGTCTCAACAGTGAAATTCACAACATATGCATTATATGTGTATCATATTGGATCTACTTTTCATGGAAAGGAGCATTTTCCTCACATACTGCAGTATATATAAAATTCCTGATCTTCCATGTACACATCCTTGTATTCTAGATCTACATAATGACCCTGTTATCCACTTTGGCTCACTTTCCCTACATTTTCCTCTTAAGAAGTTAGTTCCACAGTAAAACATGTTGATTTTATCCACATTGGTCAAGATTCAAACCCTCAGTCTTATTTACCAGGACAGCTTAACTGAGCTCAGCACATGTTTACACTCTCTTTGTGCCCATGCCAATGCTATAATTAGAGCTTATTATAGCCAAGAGTTAGTAGTGAAATGTGTTCACTCACACATTGCTGTTGTGCTTCCCCCCACCTGCTTTACATCAGTTGACACATGTTTTTCATAATTAAAATTGTATGCTGGAAAAGTGTGATGATGGTGCATCAGTGCTGGCTGGTAGGGTTTGTTTTTGTAGTGGTGGTCAGTTTGTCCAGGGCTCTGCGTGCCTGGCCCTCAAACACTTACTTTTGCCATTCGAGATCAAGAATGTTTCACTGCCTCTCTTTCCATCCAATACAGTTTCTTTCCAACTGATTAAAGTTCAAATTTATCTCAGATGTCATACAGCTATATGAAAATTTCAGTTAATATTGACAGCTGGCATACACCTAATCAGAATTCTGTATCAAATAAACATCCTATTCAGAATATTCACTGTCCATTTACATCTGTGCGTGTCCAAACGAATGTAATTATGAGTTCTGTGAAACATGGGAAGCTGTGAAACCCCAAACTGTGGAAGAAGCATATTTTTGCAGAAAGGAGGAGACAGATTATTTTGTCCAAATGTTAAAAGAATTCAATTTTGCAACTCTTGATGATGATTATTTTGAGGTGTCAGTCTGTATTTATCATGGATCGAAGATGAATCACTGTTGAATTTTGTTTTGATATTGCAAATTAAATTAATGTTGATATTGCAATGTTGTTTCAACATCTTTTTGATATGGGACCAATTTTGGCACTTAATTTCCATGACATTTTTCTTGTACTACAATGTTTCAGTAAAAAATGCATGTAAATAATTACGTATGTGGATACATGCTTAAACTATTTTTAAATGGATGTTTATGGGTGTTATTTTTAACGGATGTGACTCAACGTCATGGATCAAGGTTTAATCAGTTGAATTTTGTTTCGATTTTGCAAAAGGAAACAACATTCATTGATATTGCAAAATTGTTTAAACATTTTCAACATAAGCGAACAAACATTGATTGATTGTTGATTTTTGATTAACTTTTTTTTACCACATTAAGTATTGTTTCAATGTTTTTCAGTGCTGAAAAAAAATATTATCTTAACCACAATTTCAATGTTGAAATATGGCTGGTTGGTCAAAAGCATGGTTGCTTAGAGCAAAGATGTATATCAAATATCATGAAGAGGCTGAAAAATATCAAGATAATTGTTTTGCTGTATATCACATCTGATTCATAGTTTATCTTCTTGAGTGGTCTTCTACTACAAGCTCTGTGTTCCTCATGTTGTGTGATGTGGCAGAGCCTGAGGGGTGACGGCATGGCGGAGGGCGATGAAAGCGCAGGTGGGGAGTGGAAAGAGAAATGCATGGCCCTCGAGGCCCTGCTCTTCAAGTTCCGTGGACAAATGAGCGTGATCCGAGAGCTCACGGCAGAAAAGGTCAGTCAAACGCACTACGTCTCGGTCCCTGAGTCCCTGAGTCCCTGCGCTCGGCTTACTGGTCTGCTCTCGGACCTTTAAAAATCATTACATCAGACCGCATGCTGAGCAAGTAAAACTCAACCTACCCCAGACATCTTTTATTAAAGTAATAACAGAACAGCATTTGTCTGTAACTGTCACCGCCCTGCTAATTCCCGTCTGTATTTATATTGCCGAGATACTCAATCGCAGGGAATTCTAAAAAAGGCAAAGAAGCCACCTATTAAAGTATTTGCTCATTTCCATGTTTGGTTTTCATTTCCACAAAAGATTGTGTGTGTATATGCGTGCCATGGCCTATTTCTTTGGCCTATCTCGAGGGAGAGCAGATTAGAGGTTAATATAAACAGACGCCTGACCACAGGGCTCCAGACTGCTGCATTCTGGGATAGCAGAATCTTCTTTGAATTACAGACTCAGGATGTATCCGGGTTCTTTAAATGTCTTGCCCTTGGGGAGAGGTCAAGTTTAGGAAATGCATAGTCAGCTATTCTGATGATGCTCTTTCTTAAGCAATTTTAACGATTGGTGCCCCAAAGTATTTTGACTAAATCTATCTAAATGACTAAATGTAAATATTTTGTAACTGAATCTCATACAGTTTTAAAGGGATAGTTCAGCCAAAAATGAAAATTCTGTCATTAATTACTCACCCTCATGTCGTTCCAAACCCGTAAGACCTTCGTTCATCTTCGGAACACAAATTAAGATATTTTTGATGAAATCCGAGAGCTTTCTGACCCTCCATAGACAGCAAGGGTCCTACCACGATCAAGGCACAAGGACACCTGTAAAATAGTCCATGTGACATCAGGGGTTCAACCGTAATTTTACGAAGCTACGAGAATATTTTTTGTGTGCAAAAGAAAACAAAAATAACCAGTGTCAGTTGATTCACAACTCCTCTCCCATGGCTTCATGGGATAGCAAAGCGTGTACTTCAGGAATTTGTCAGAAGTAGTAGGTGATCTGCATACTTGTCTCGTACTATTTTATGAATACTGTGAATTCACATACATGTACTGTTTTGTGCCTGCTATATAGTAGGGAAATACGTCATTTCGAATGCAACCTCATTCTCAGTAAGCGTGACCTCTAACCCCTATGATGCTGATTCAAGTGTATGATTTCATCATATGAGAATCTCGTTGTAATTGCTTCTCATTCCTTCATCAGTAGGCTTGTTATATTATCCATCTATTATTCCTCCCTTGCATATGTGGACAGAATCCCTTATTGCAGTAATTAAAAGCTGCCTTTAAATGTTTACATAGGGTCTCTCACTGTAGGTCCTGGATCAGCTAAGCTGTTAAAATACAGATAGCTGGGATGCTTAGTTTAGCTGTGGATATGTAAGAGATTAATCCTGTGGTGGAAAAAAAGTAGGGGAAGTAGGAATGGGCAGGATGATCAACTAGTCACCAAACAACCCACCCAACTAATCTATTAAAGGGCGACTAGTTTATATAGATTTTTAAAGCTGTGTTTTAAGCAATGGCTCTTTAAAGGAGGTGAATTAAGAGATGCAACTTCATGGAGAGAATTTTTGCATCCTATGACGCTAAAACCTACTACTACTAAGTTGTGTCTTTAAATTAAAGGCCCATTTGCACCAAGAACAATAACTATAAAGAGAATTATAACAGTAAATATATTAGCGGCCACAAAAACTGACAGTAATGTTATTTGCTATTTACTCAATAAACAGATTTCACTATTCTCATAGAATTAGATTATTTATTAAAACTTTATAGTTATCGCTCTTTGAGTGAGCAGGCCTTAACCTCATTTAAAGCACAGTGCTTTTGGAACAAATTTGCAGTTTAAGATTTTCAAGTAAATGACAGTTTTATGCAGTTTAATAAACAAAATGTTAATATTAAAACTATATTACAACAATGTTAGTTACTTATATTTTACACATAATATTACCAGTTACTTTGTCTATTTTTGCTCCACCAATTAAAATAGTTCTAACAAAGTCTAACAGTTGTCCATCTCTGAGCAACAAACAGTAGTGGTGTTTCTTTACTCAATTAATCTGTGGTTTTGAACAAATTGGTTAAGTGAATGATTAAATGACTCACTTATAAAGACAGTAGGTGCCCTGCAAAGTGGACTTCTGACATCTTGAATGAGATTGCAATATAAAGAGAGTGTTGTTTTCAGTTGTTTTGTTGAGCGTTTTTGAACTAATTGGTTTAGTGAATGATTCAATGACTCACTTATAAAGACGGTCAGTTGTTTCGGTCTTAAATAAATCAGTGTTTTTGAACCAGTTGTTCAAATTGCTTTAAATTTCCCTCTCCACTTCCTGTGAAGTGATGTGTCGATATTGTTCAATGACTCACTTATAAAGACAGTCAGATGTTTTGTTCCACAGTGAATCAGTATTTTTGAATGAATCAGTTCAAAGTGATTCAAATGACCTACTGATGTAATGATGTAACCTGCAGAGAAAGAAATTCCTCACAGACTGATAGTCTATCTGAAATATGAATGAATATATATTGGAACTAACTGTTGTATAAAATGTTACACATATTTAGCCTGTTTATCTGTCAAAAGATATTATTGTATTCCGTCTTTTTTATATTGCTTTACGTACACATGCAGGCCATCACCCCCTAAGAAACGTATCTGATTCGGGACAGTGGACCCTATTTATCTCTCTAATCAGTGGGTTGTCTCAAACTATAATTTTGAAAATGTTTTTGTAATTTTACACGTCTTGTAGAACGGGTAAGAAGGTATAAGAGTGAAAGGGAAAGAGAGGGAGTAAAATGAGATGGAGAGAGACAGACGAACTGTGGCAAAACAAACTATCCTTTAATCACTGAGACTCCCAAGGGAGGAAATGCCTGGCCTCGTGCTATACAGGAAGTTAGCATGCTAAATACATACACAAAAAAACACATATATGCTAATCCAAGTGTGGTTTGTTGGGAGAAATGTAGGTCATTTTCTCCCCTGGTTTACATCCTGTTTGGTGAAGTTTAAATTAATCAGCCAAACTTGGACAGCAATTGCTCTTCATGCAAAGAAACTCAAAAAAGTAACGAACTTTCGCTGTGAGCCATCCTCAAAGAATGTCACAAAGGCGCACATGAAGACTACACCATATCCTGCTTATGAACAGATGCAAACCTTTCTTTTAAACCATTATGGTAAAAATATGGGCAACTTTCAAGTGCAATCAAATACATATGAACTTGTGTTCTCACACTGAGAGCACATTATGTGAAGCAGGAATCTGTTGTAGGTTAGCGCTCCGCTCGACACCCTCAGATTTTTGTACCATACAATGTATTGTTGGCTATTGCTGCAAATATACCTGTGCGACTTGAGACTGGTTTTGTGGTCCAGGGTCACATATGTGAAATAAAAAAGTTTTATGGTATTTCAGAATTTAGCCCCATAATAAATAACCATCTAAATATGTATTTCAATGCTAACTAAAGCAATGGATTCTACTAGAATGGAAACGCGAGCTTCTGTAGTATACAGTGTGCTGCTGCAGGACACAGATGAGTGCAGTGTGGAGCAGAGGCCGGGTGACGCTGGGGAATTTGGAGCCGTGGTGCAGTGAAGGCTGTCACACAGACAGGCTTTGTGAGCTGTCTTGTGGAGGGAGGCTGGATGAGGCGTGCAGGGCGGGCCGGCCACAGAAGGCCGAGGATGGAATGCATGGAATGGAAGACTGACTGTAGCCAGGAGCATATGGAGCAGAGAAGTGAGGGGGATTGTAGAAGATTCAAAGAGCTGTTGATGGAAATGTGAAGTCTACATGTGCAAACTGATGAAAGCATCCATGAAGGTTTTTGGTTTGTTTTGGTTTACAGCACCCCCATTGGCCGTCACCACCACGTCACCACTCATTTACATAAAGTTGAGCTCTGTTCAGCTTTGTCGCATTATCAGCAGTCTCTATTGCTTGTTTCACCAGTATTTGCCATATGTGACCCTGGAGCACAAAACCAGTCTTAAGTAGCACGGGGATATTTGTAGCAATAACCAAAAAATACATTGCATGGGTCAAAATGATCGATTTTTCTTTTATGCCAAAAATCATTAGGATATTAAATAAAGATCATGTTCCATGAAGATATTTAGTAAATTTCCTACCGTAAATATATCAAAACTTATTTTTTGATTAGTAATGTGCATTGCTAAGAACTTCATTTGGACAATTTTCTCAATATTTTGATTTGTTCTTTTTTTTTTGCACCCTCAGATTCCAGATTTTCAAATAGTTGTATCTCGGCCAAATATTGTCCTATCTTAACAAACCATACATCAACAGAAAGCTTATTTATTCAGTTTTCAGAAGATGTATAAATCTCAATATCAAAAAATTGACCCTAATGACTGGTTTTGTGGTCCATGGTCACATATATCTTTGAAAATGAATGATTCTGGTCACTTTGTTGCTTCAAATCACTCCATTGTCCTCCTAGAGCACCATCTCCTGGTCAAACAGAACAATGCACTTTTGTATGGAGCCCTGCAGATGACATGAAGAAGAAAAACTAGATATATTGTGGCCACAATTTAAGACTTATTCATTCCTGGCCATGTTCTATCATTTATAAATGTCCAAATGAGTAAGCAAAATCACTGAATCAGTTTGTGATTCATTCTGAATCATTTAGACTGCTCACTTGCGTACTGAATTGTTTGAAGTGTCAGAGTACCAAGTCGGACTGACAATGCAGATCAGTCAAAAACTTAAGTGGAATAGGCTTTTTTATTGGTCAATATTGCTGCTAAATGTGGGGGAAAAAAATAGTATCTTTTAAAAGTTTTGACAACTTTTAATCACAATGTCAGTTACCCAGACAACCTGAAGTTATACAACCATTCAAAAGTTTAGGGGTTTTAAGAATTTTTTTAATGTTTAGTGTTGTAAAGTCCATTCTGCTCACTAAGGCTACTTTTTTTTAGCAGTAAAACAGTAATATTGTGAAATATTATTTCAATTTTAAACAACTTTAAACAACAACGTTTTTAAAATGCAATTTATTCCTGTGATGCAAAGCTGAATTTTCAGCATCAGTCTTCAGTGTCACATGATCCTTCAGAAATCAATCTAGTATCCTGATTTACTGCTCAGCATTTATTTGAAATGTATTTAGAAATACATTATAAATGTCTGTCCTTTTTGATCAGTGTAATGCATATTTGCTGAATAAAAGCATTCATTTCTTTAAAAAAAATAAATAAAAAAATGTGAATGTTGGTGTATGTAGCACCAGGCAATCAGATGCATCAAATGGTCACTAAGCACACACAGGTGTTCATTGGCGATTTAAGCACCAAGTCTTCACCAAGTCAGGTTCAATGATGGCCTTTAGAAAACAGCATGTGTTAATATGTAGCGCTAACCTGTGGCTGAACCGTCTTTCTGGGTTTGTGCAGCTGTTCTCAGAACAGTCTGTAATTACTCTGCTATTTTTTATTTTCTATATCTGCACCGTTGGGCAGTGGTGGACCAGCTTGACCACAGATGAGGCTGGGTGTGTACTGTGTGGTGTGTACTGTGTACCCGTGTGTACAGTGTGTGTGTGTGTGTGTTGGTATAAACGTATCTGTAGTTAGTTCCACATTAAGGTTATGTGTGTGTGTGTGTGTGTGTGTGTGTGTGTGTGTGTGGTTGTTGCAGTATAAACACATATGTAGTTAGTTCCACATTAAGCTTATGTGTATGAATAGTCTGTGGGGATAGTGGCTGTGTGTGTGGACAACAGAGATAATGAGTGTGTGATGTATTTCTGACCATCAGTGTGTTTTGGTGGACACACCCTTTGGTTTAGTCCGGTAGGCGTTGGCTTACTAAACCTTGAATATCAATAGACTTCTATCATGCAAAATTAACCAGAGTCTGTGAAATCTTTTTAACTTCCATCTGCGAATCAGTGATTTACGTCATTCATCAGGATCTGACTAATGCACCATTAACAAATCCAACCAAATCTGCTTTAACTTAAGAACTAGAGCAGAACATGGACAGGACTGTTCCAGAGTCAGCATTAAGATTGTTTTGTCAATAGTGCTTTTGTGTGTTGGAACTTATTAAACATCTTTAATGATGGAGGCTTGTAAAGAAAAGAGGCTGTTAGAAAGATCAGAATATCATTGGGTCACATACACACACAGATGCATAAAAACACATGGCGTTGGCGTATGGCGTTCAGTGGAAAACTATTAGCAGTGTGTTAGGTCATATTTGTCTGTTCTCCTTTGGGAACTGTATGAAGAGAAACAGGTTGCTGATGGAGCTCCTGCCAAAGCAGAAACAAGCGCATAACACCGATCAAGCAAGTTTAACCTCACTAATTTTGTATGGTGCTATGTTTATCATGTTAATTCAACCCCAAAATCAAAAAGACATAAATAAGACAAAATAGTTACATTAAAAAAAATTCCGTCCATTAACGTTATCCGATGAAATTGATATTTTCAATACTCTAATGTGAAAAATAATGATATATTAAATATTATTAGTAGTATTTGGGTTTTTATGCATATTGACAGAGCACCAAAAAGAAAGCCAAAAAATGTTGCACCTTTCCACATAAATATACTTTTTTTATCTTAAAATAATGCTCAGTTATAATAAAGGATATGACATAAAATTGTCGAAAAGCAAATTTATAGACATTGATTTATTTTTTTTTTGACAATTAGGCACCCCCTAATTTTGTCATTACCACAATGCAATAAAAATTACTTGTCAGTACTGTAATGTGAAAAATAATTATATATTTAATAAATTGTGACGTGCATATGCTATAGTAATATGTCAATGGTTTTTGCAAAGTGATTAAAAATGGCACCTTAAATATATTTTTTGTCTAACAACAAAATATTTTAAGCATAATTCTCAGAATTCTCTCTTTTTTATGACAAATAGGCAACCTCTAAATTCTCATTACCAAAATTAATAAAAAAAAAATTTAAATATATTAAATATTTTAAAAATAAAATAAAAATAAAATATTTTAAAAATAAAAAGTTTATATATACTGTGTCTGTGTATATATTCAATTAAAAAATATTTATTTTTCACTATGTTAGTATTTGAGTGTTATGACATGTGATGGAAAAAAATTTTTTTTTAAATATAATACATTTTTAGTAGTGGTCCACATTCAGTCTCCAAGACCTATTCAGCAAACTCCAATCTGATGACCACAACTAAGCCACAGAATGCGTGGAGTGAGACTTCTATGACACTGGCAAGTGGATTAAGGAATTTATAATAGAGATTAACTTGAAAATATGAGGATTGGAAATACAGTGGTCAAAATTCCCTGAAATTTCACTGAATCTGATCACAGGAAACAATCGTCAAAATGACCGGCAACTAAATCATTACCTCTGGTTTACCTTTTTTTTTTTTTTTTGTGACATTATACACATACAATACAGTCCAAACATGAAACCAATACAACACAGCTTCAGTTTTTGGGGAAATGTTTTTGCTTAGATAGTAGCTTTTTTGAGTTTCCTTAACTTTATAAACAATTTTTTTCTCATGGTCTTTTCGTCTGAAAAAAATAAATAAATAAAAGGCTTTAAGGAATAACATTAACAGTAATGTTAATTAACTATGGTAAAAATGATTTGCAAATGGATATGCTGTATTCCTGGCAATATGAGACGAATACATTCTTTAAAAAGATAAAATCCCAGCAAAGAAGGATATTTGTTTACAAAACCAGCTGACTTATTCTCCCCAGTGATGCTTGGAAAATGTTATGCATGAGGAAAATTTTGATGTAGACTTTTAATAATTCTCATGTTTATACATATTCATGCACAAGCACTGCTCATTTGCCCATTCATTTAAACATTACTTCTCGCTCTCTCAGATGCAGCAGCTGGAGACGCAGGTACTGGAAGCAGAGCGTCGAGCATATGAGGCCAGCCAGCAGGTAAATACTAATAACACTCTCTTGGACATTTCATCCGATGTTAGGAATATTTGCACTGACAATGATTTATTTCAATTATGATTCTTTACCTAAATGGCTTGCTAAATGATTTGATTCTTTAGGTACAATTAATACTAATGTAATGTAACAAATGTATATGAAAATATTTCTTGACAAAAATATATTTTATTATGGTTTGTCAAAGTTTTCATCATTTTGCATATTATTATCAACTAAAATGCCTCAAATTATTAAACGCCATTTTATTGGGAGTAAAATGGTCAGGTGACAACATTTAAAGCATAATTTCAACAAAACTATATTATAATTTATATTAATCATTCACAGAGGTTGGACAAAATAATGTGAACACCTTGGAAATAGACAATGTTCCTTTATTAAAGGTGCTGTATGTAAATTTTTTGACTGTACTAAAGCATACAAATACCAAAATGTGTTTGCAAATATTTAGGTAACATGCTAAGTTTACATACTTGTTTCTCCAAAAAAGCAGTGCTACAGTTATTCTGTTTTGAAATGTGGTTCCATGTCTGTTTTTGTTTTGGTCTGCCCACTGCCAATTTACTCAATAGTATTTCGACTCCCCGGGATGCCAGGTGGTGGAAAACACCGCGTATTGCAGCGAGATCACAGATTCTACTCGACCTAAAAAGATCCATCTAAAAAGATCTATGAACAGAGTAATATTAAAACACTAGGGATGTAACGATTAACTGCGAGCCGGTTGAAAATCGATTCAAATATGTGACGATTCAAATCGGTTGAGATGCTCAACAAATCGCGATTCATTTAGTTCTGCAGTATGTCCAGTGTTAGGCCTGTCAAAGAAATTTTTCATCAAAACCATGACTTAAACAAACACTATGTAAAAAGTATGAGCGAGAATGAGTATGTAGCATGCATATTATAATTGTGCACACTGTACACGGTCCGCAGTATAAAACAAAGCACACTGCATTTATCCCATAATGCAATGTGCTTTGTTATTTTTTTTATATATTTTTTTTATTTTCAGTTTTTATATACAAAGCAAGGAATACAAGCTAAACAACAGAAAATAAATAAATATATAACGTAATATGCAAATAAATAAATAACAGGAATTGGGCTAACAAGCACAGCATAAGTTTAAAAAATATACAGGAAATTTTTCCAGTGATGGAATGGAGCTATTAAGTGTCATGCTTTTGTGTTGTGTTTTAGCCATGGAGCTGACTTTGGGTTCTGGTGGTTCAATCCAGTCCAATGTGGATGAGGCCCAGCGGCTCAGCAGTCTGACTTTTGGCTGTTTTCAAATCAGAGGGAAGAGCCCTCAGGTACTGACGGGCCCAGAGCCATCCCAGAAGAGCGTCAGCACCCAGCCGGATCGTGAGCCCACACACACAGACTGCAGGAGACCCTCTACTGGTCAGAAGACTGATATGATATCTGTAGCTCTTTGACTGAAAGTATTCGTTCAGAATCTGTTGAGTTTGACCGAGATGCAACAAGGCTGGGAAGAAATTAAGAATAATAAATTAGAATAAAAATTAAGATAATAAATGTTTCTTGAGCAGCAAATCAGTATGTTAAAGCCCTATTCGCACTGGATTAGTATTACCTGGTGACCTCTAGTCATTTGTAATAATTGCGGAGGTTGTCTGTGATCTTAATCCCGTGCGAATCGGCCATGTCTGTAATTTGTAAAGTAAAAATTCCCCCGCAAATGACCTACCATATTTCGCCAAACACCGAGATCCTGTGATAATATTAGTCCCGTGCGAATCGGCATCTCTGTAATTTGGCCAGGATTTTGCGGGGCCGGATATATAATTTTTTTCTAGGTTTTTGTTTCCTGCGCGGTGCACCTTTTTATCCATCTTTCGCGTAGAATGGAGGCTGCGTTGGATTGTTTTGGTAGTATTTTGGGTGCTGGGTCATTATCGCTATACACCATACAACTATACAATTTGCAGAAAGAGAAAGCTGAAAACCATCAGAAGAGAGAAAACAAAAAGAATGATTAGTTGGAGATGGATGACATGTATAGTAGCATGCGGTGGCGTAGCGAGTCAGCCCCGGGCCCATATGCAAAAAACATTGTATGGACCCCCCCAAACGTTATGGGCTCCAACTCGGTTAACTTAACTTAGTCCCTATTGTTGCTTTTTCTGAAGTAAATAACGTTACGTGAATCGTGACTATTCACAAGCTGTTTTATTTAAAGTCTAGGCTAATGCTTGGAAATGATTAAAGTTTTCAAGTCCATTCATTATTTGTAGCACGCAAGCCACCCAATAATCGCAGCTTTGTGGTTTGTTACTACAAAGTCTCAGCCTTCTGTCAATTTTATGATAACATACAAACAATAAACGTCTTTTTACGCTCTTTAATTTGTAGCACAGACTTTTTTTTATATATATATATATGTGGAATTTTCACATGAACTTCACGCAATATAACATGATTTTATTATCGTAATTTTGACTTATTCATAAAATATTATGACGTTAATCTTATTTATTTATTTAATTTTAAACGTGGCACAAAAATGCTGCCGTACAGGCTACTGAATGCAAATACAATTTTGGCACAGCGGCCCAAAAAAAAAAATAAAAAAAATTTTTTTTTAAAAATAGTGAGGCAATATTTGAATTATTTGTTAATAAACTAATGTTTTTTGAGTCAATGTTGCAAAAATGAATGAACCTGACTCGCCATCTCCTCATTGGACGTGCCTTTAGAGAGAAATGCACGGATTACATAATGAAAAAGTTTTTGTTTTCGATTTGAATTATTTTGTTTTAAAATAGTAATCTAAAGCATTCTATAGATATATTTATCATGTCGGTGAAGCGCTCCTGCGCAAGACCAAGACGACAGAAAGCGCATCCTGTTTGTTTTCCTTATTTTACAAAAGCACAAGATTTTGTTGATATTGTGAGTACACACAAATACAAGTAGACCATTTGCAGTTCCGAATGATGTATACTCTTAACTTTATGAGTAAAAATGATGGCGTATTTTTGAGTTTCCACTGTTATCAAAAAAAAATAAATGCAAGTGATCGCCCTGGCGCCTCCATGTCCTGCATAGCGCACTTTAGCTTCCACTCTCCACACAAACTTGATTGGATATGTGCCTAACAGCGCTCATTTATTTAGGTTAAATGTTTAAATTAATTTTGTGAAATGCATGAAGTGTTTTATGTCTATTTTAGGCAAGTCGTGTTGGTTTGAGAAGGCTAAATTGATCAAACATAATGCTCAACTCACTGTCTGCCGCTGCCACTTGGTCGTTCCTTTAAAAAACAAAAACTTGAATTTAACAAACATAAAATGTTCCAAACATATTTCTAAATTAACTTAATAAAGAAACAAAAAGAAATATGACCACTTTGCCATTAAAAACCAAAACGGAACTATTTTAATAGCTGTGTAATGGGGAAGAGAGAGAGAAAAAAGTCACGTATCCAGTCGGACTCGGGCCGAGAATTCTCATAAGCTGTTGGACAAGGGCCGGGCCCATGCAGGGCTCTATTCGTTCCCACGTTTCAATTAAAAGTTCCCCCAGCTCGGCGGGCCCCCAAACTGCCCGGGCCCATATGCACCTGCATACCCAGACGCTACGCCACTGGTAGCATGTGGCAAGGAACATTCTTCTGTTTGTGATATGTAATGTTACGCAAAGCCTTGACATCATATCCGGGAGATAAGTCACAGGCTTCGCTTATTCTGTGCGAATGCACAGATGTGGATGTAGGGGGTCATTTTAAATCACACGAGGTCCCCAGATAATACTAATCCCATTCGAATAGGGCTTTAGAATGATTTCTGAAGGATCATGTGACACTGAAGACTAGAGTAATGATGCTGAAAATTCAGCTTTGCATC